TTCCTGAATTAGTATGACTACTTATTCTCTCATTACCTGCTTTAGACTGTATCACAGTATGGATCTCATAGTAAGTTTTAAACTAAAAGTTTGGAGAGAATTTGGTGATCAATGATCACACACACACATCTCTGCTATGCATAGATGCTGCTGAAGAAGATAAAAATCAGGCGTGGTGTCTGCCTTTGAGGACATTACAATCTAGGGGGAGAAACTCGTATGTAAACGGCTGATTATTATACAAGGCGAAGTAAAACAAACATTAACTAGAGGACAAGCTCATAGTAACACAGATAATGGAGCAATCAATTCTAACTGAAAGGGAATCAGAAGCTCCTTTGCCAAAATGGTGGCATTTGTGAAAGCTTTGAAGAATGATTATATTTAGAGAGAGCAGTGAAGAAAAGGTGCTTCCAGCCACAGGAGTAGAATTAACAAAACTATAGAGGCTTTAATCAAATGGATTTTGTTTTGTTTTTGTTTTGTTTTTATAATGCTACACAAGATACAAAGGTAGGCTCCGGGAGAGTTGCAAAGAGAAATAATATAAGTGTCTTTTCTCTAGTAGCTTACATTGTATTTTGAAAGAAAAGCCATTTTTTAAGTAAGTATATCTCAACAGTTCACCAATAGCATATGGTTGTCTGGAATGGTGTCACTGAGTGGCATGTCCTTAAGAGCTACCATACGTGAGAACAGGAGGGATTCATTATTGCCAGGATGTTCTAAAGGATAGGAATATAGATATCTCTCAGAAAATAGAATCTGCTATGAGAAGCAGGAGGCAATAATATTCAAAATGAGAAAGACAATGTGGAGAAGACCCAAGGGCAGTAATGATCCTGGCATGTCCACAGAATTGTGAAGGTATCAACTCAGATGGACTAAAAGGTGCCTTTTGGCCCGCACCAGAAAAAAAAAAAAAATTAGAAATAAAATTTTAGGTAAATTCAAATGCCTTTAAAAGTTTAAGAAGGTAAAAGTCCAAGAAGGTAAAAAAAATTTTTTTAGGTGAATTCACATGTGTCTAAAAGATCAAGAAGGCAAATTAGGCAAGTGAAGTGGACTTTACAATACACACATATTGTGAGGGAGTACATAATAAGAGGGTGTGGAGGAGATTGTGACCAAGGTCACTAGTAAAGAGGACACCGCTAAGCTTCAGCCAGTTAAAATTATGCAGACTTAAAGAAAGATGGAGACTTTACCTCCTTCATGTTTACATGGATGGAGCTGGAAAATGTTCTTCTTAGTAAAGTATCTCAAGAATGGAAGGAAAAGTACCCAGTGTACACAGCCCTAATTTGAAACTAAATTATAGATTTCATAGGAAAGATATAACCTAATTATAGCCTTAGAATATGGGGAGGGGGAGGAGAGGGGGTGGGTTTCATCTTCTCTCTATCAAAACTAGTTGGTTTTTATCATCTAACTACTTAAGGTTGTACAGCAGAAATAAGGAAAGTAGTATGTTTTAATCAAGCTATAGAACTCAGATAATAAAACATAGTAAATGAAAGGAAATAAGTTTGAAATAATCTGAAAAGAATTTCACAACAAAATTTCAGAAGTGTTCGTGGCTCACAGTTATCTTTAACTGTCTCATTTGCATTTGATAAAAAGAAAAGTGTAACTATGTGACTCTTTTCCCCTCTAGGGAGAAAGGAATACAAGGTGCACATTTCCCAGTTTGGGTCTCACCGGGTACTTGATGAATGAAGCTGCATTTGTCATCCCTACCACTCGCCAACCATGGATACCATCAGGATGTCTTGATCAGGTTTATTTAAAGACCTGTTTTTTGGTTCATGGGCCTGCCTGACAGTGAAACCAGGTGGGGTTTGAAGGTTTGCAACAGATGCTTTCAGGCCTTGTAATTTCTGAATTTGGTAGAGTTCATACATCACACAAAAATATACTATGTCAGTCCACTCATGATTTAGGTTGTTTTCCAACTAAGTGGGAAAGAACTCAAGTGGGTATGTTGACTTCATACTGCAATCCAGAAGGTTATTTGTCAAAAGAAAAAAAAAAGTCAATGTATGTTTTCTTCCTTATCAAGTTCCTATTCTTGTTCACTAATAGGAAGAGGAGCTAAGTAACAGGGAATTATGGGGTGGAAAAAAAGGCACATAGAGATTACAATATTGTGCCTCTGTCTGAGTGAAATGTGAAATGTAGCATTCCAGATGTTGAATATATTTCATGCAAAACAACTGCTGGGGTTCGGGAACAATATAAATTCCTGAAATGTAACAGGGAATCCTTGCTTACTGATGCTGAGAAAACACTTTAGATGATCAACAAATCTGGAAAATGTGCTAAAGAGCCACAAACTCTTATTAAAATCAAAGCTACTATGTTCTAAAAACATTTTTTGTGATTTAGATAAGTATGGCTTGGGTTTCATCCTTGACGACAATACCCTAAGGCAAATTTGACAAAGATGAGTCTTTGAAGTCTCAGTAATAAAAACAATTCACAGTGGCTCCTCATTAAGTTACTTTCAGGAGTTGGGTTCAGACCTGAGGACTGCATAAAAGAATAAGGAACAACAACAAAAAAAAAACAAGTCACTTACTATTCACTTGCTAAACTGCGAACTATTAAGGCTTTATAATACAAATCACGACATTTCCAATTATTCAATTTTAATTATTTATAAATAATAAGTCTGAGATATGAACAAAGACGGACATCTCCTCTTAGTTAATTGTGGAGAATAGAATAGTTGAAAGTATTTTCATAGACAGTATCTCCATGGGAGAGAAAATGTTCACGTTTTTCAGCTTTGGTTAAGATCAAACTAATCTAATTAGCTTTTTTCCCTCTAATTTATTGCTCAGAATTCCCTTTAGTGAGGTGTGTTTTTGATAAATTTCAAGGAAAGCTATTTGGAGAAAAGTTTGAAAGTAGACATAAATAAAACTGAAAAGGTTTCTTTAAAAGAGTTATCAAAATATCACCTAAAAAAAACAAAAGGACACAATTGGAAAGTTATAAACGGTATGCTTATCATCATAATAAGCTATTTATACAGAATAACCCAGGAGTATCCTATATTCATTATAGTTGGGATAGGAGACACAATCCACCTGGAGGGTTTTAATTAACATTATATATGACTAATTAGAGGGAAAAAAGGACGTCTTTCTCTTCTGATGGTGACAATGTAGCTATATTGGTTGGTTATCTGGTAAGGTCATTATAAATCACAGAGGTATTAACAAACTTATAATTAAATGTGTAAATAACTTTGTTTCATTATTTGTTGATTTCAGATTGTTTGTAAACACTGTCTCCACAATACACCTCACATACTAACCCCTTTAGAATTTCATTTCCACTTTTTTCTTTGACTATGGTGGCTATAAACTCCTATGGTGTTTAAAGCTGTAAACTTAGCATTTCATACAAACATTACGATCATCAAAATCAGGTTCACACCAATTTACTAATACGATGACATAACTGAAACAGAGGCAAGAGATCCTCTGTCCTGCTAGATTTTACTCATTCAGTTCTCTACAGAAAATTGTTATTTGGCTAAAAAAGCACACTTGAAACGGTCTTCTTATATTTACATTCCATTTTCAGAAGACAGAAAATATCAGGGACACAGAAAACTCGGCACTTGACTTTGACCCATAAGAAAGGACCAGTTAAATCCAGTTTCGGGAAGAGATACTTAATGTCCATAACAGAATCATCTTTTAAAATAAATATTATTACCATATTTAATTGGAAAAGCTCCTGCTATGTGACCTATGTGACCTTACATACAAATACAGGTTTAATATCAGGCCTCTTAGCACATTTTTAGCATTTCATTATTTTAAAAATATTTTAAAGATGATGAGAAAACTATGTGCCCAACTTCATCAGCACTGTTGTTCTGTATCGACATGCTGGGAAAACTATCAATTCTCTGTAAACCTGGCTAAACTTGCGTTCTAGCACATTTCTTCAGAATTAGTTTCTAATGAAGATTTTTCAACTTGTTATGTTTCTCTTAATTAATTCTTAGCAAAGAATAGCTCTCCCTCCAAAAGATGCAAAGAAGAATTAAAAAAAAAACCCCAATTTCCTATCCTTATCCCGTCTCCTCCTTTTGCTATGCAAAGTGTTTATCTTCACATTTTAATGTGCCATCTCAGAACATAAAGAATGACTCTCTAGGACAGATGATTTAAGTACAGAATTTCAAATATTTAGGAACCGCAGGCAGAATGACCGTTGCTCTAATGTTAAGAGGAAACAGTAAAAAAAAAAAAATTCAACCTAACAATTTCATAATTTCACAAAAGGTTTTCCCAGGAAGGAGTTTGGCTGTGATGACTTCTAAAAATAATGACTGCCCTTATGATCTGTAAGTCCACATGAAATCAGACATTTCTGTAAGTTTAATAATAAGGTTAAAAATAAGAATGGCATTTTCCCGAGCTAGTCAACAACGAAGCATTTGCTGGCTGATTTAGAAAATATTAACTTGGATGCTGCAACCACAACAAAGTCCTGGTTCCATATTTCTTATGCAATCAGGGAAGATGAGACGCAAGAATGAAATGTGACCTTGCACACAGACTGCAGCTGAAGGCACAGAGCCTTTCTCTGGAAACAGAGGACAAACTTATTGTTTAAATAATGTAAACAAAAACCTGAAGGTACCAGGGATACAGTTAAAAGTGTTTGGAAACTATTACATACTTAACACCACACTGGCCTCATTGTATCTCCTAAGGTCTGCCATTAACAGACACTCATAGGCGGCTAAGGCCTGTGGGCAATTTATATAATGCATATATTTCCAAAATCTCTCTTTTTGCCAATTAATATATTTACTTCTCAGAGATAAGTATGCAAGCACCAGTCAGTATAGCAATGGATGTCAAAATAGGCACCACGCCTGAGGTCTCTTTTCCTTAGATATGGAATATTTGCTCACTATGTACATCCAAATACAAGAATTTGCAAAGCCCTGACTGGAGAATGAGACTTACCAGTACTTGTAAGGAAGTTGACATTTTTCATTACACCCTCAGTGTAAGCCCCTGGCTCGTAACTGTCCATTTCCCCTGTGACGATGTGAGCGACTCTTGCTGCCCGGCCTCTGATAGCACCTGCGGCGCGGTCCAGATTATCAGCATCCTGATCTCTTAAGGCTATGATGCACTTGTTGACATCTTCCAGGATGTGGCTTTCTGTAAGGGAACAAATCAAACCAGTCTGTGTATCTGTGTATTTTTTTTATCCTATTAACCTAGCATCCCATAATGATGCTAACTTCTGACTTCAGATACAGTACAAATTGGGAGTGGAGGGCCCTGGGAATTATGAAGAAAAATTAGAGCTGTATTCTGCTTATATCCCCTTTACCCTTTAATAGCATCATTCATTCATTAGGATTCATGAAGTATAAAATTTTGTATTTTAAGAGTAATTTTTATTGATTACATATTATTTTGATTCCAGTTTTAGTAGATTAGATTTTTCTTCTTTTTTTAATTAAATCATCACTGTGTACATTAATGACATCATGGAGTACAATGTGCTAGTTTTATATACAATTTGAAATATTTTCATCAAACTGGTAACATAGCCTTCACGGCATTTTCTTAGTTATTGTGTTAAGACATTTATATTCTACATTT